AAATTTCTCTGTTCTAGGATTCTTCTTTACAAATTACTATCATTATAGATCTGAAGTTTGTGCCCCCCAAAAGAAAAATAGTTACTGATTACTGATCATTTGTTGAATGCTATACACTGTAGAGATATAATTTCGTTTAGTCTTTACTATCTTGCAAGGTTAGGTGCCATCAACCTAATCTTACAGATGAGGAATTCAGGCTCAGAAATAGTTGAGTAAATTGCCTAAGATTATGCAGTTACAAGCCAGAATGGAAAATAGTTTGTCTTTTAAAGCCCTGCCTGTTCTTGTCACTCATGCTGATAGCTGATCTGAAGGACTCACTGACTTTTACACTTAGGATCCATAGATATTTTGGGTTCCGCTGGTTTCCTTTCAGAGGTAAGGAAGACAGGTAGAATCTGTTATAGATCTTTCTGGAGTGGAACTTCTTACATTTAATAGCACTCCAGTGCTATTAAGTAAATGTTCTATATTAAGCACATAAGGCACTTTGCTAGTATCTGGCAATTATTCTCAAATGTAACAAATCAGTCACTATTTCCTTTATCAACAAGAAGACATGTCACCTGGGAAAATTTTATGGGGAAAATAACATTTGAGCTCAGCCTTAATGAATGGATGGAATTCCAGTAGTAGTGATGAAAGATATTCCTCCGACCATTGGCAATAAAATAAATAAGCACAGTGGCAGAAAAATTCAGTGAAAGAGGGAATAGCAAGTAGTCTGATGTGGTTAAAATATTAAACTTCATAAGATTAAGTTGCCATAGAACTTTTATTTAATAAAAAACAGGAACAGTTGTGTATATTCAGCGTGCTTATCTGATACCCTATTTGAGCACCTGCCATGTGCAGGGCACTATGGAGATACAAAGATGAATGATAAGTGAGGTCTAACTAGGGACCTCCTAGCCTGGCTAGGGAAACAGGCATAGTGCAACAAATGGTACTGTGTCAGACCAATTTAAATAACATGTGCAAACCCATCCAAACCTGTTACCATCCTTATAATCGGTCTGTCAGTTGATGGTACCACGTTTATCCAGTGCTCAGGTAAAAATCTGCTTCCAGATTTTTGTGGAACAAAAAAGTGCTTCCACTTTTCCCTTTTCCCCTCAGCTCTGCCTGCAGTTGCATCTTGCCAAAGAATGCTTATGAACTTTGACCCTCTTTTAAATGCATCATCTTTTCCTAGCCTCTATGCTGCTGTTTTACTGGAGACCTACTACCTTAAATTATTTTATTGGTTTCCCTAGTTTCTAGTTAACATTTTGCAATAAACTGTTAATAACACTATCAGAATTATCTTTAAAAATTTTATTTTAAAAATTCTAACAAGTGCCCATTACTGAGAGAGTCCAAACTCCTTAGCGTGTCATACTTCTTAAAGATGTGTACCACACCTTCCTAAGTTAGGCCTCAGCAGTGCCAAGATGACAAAACCCAGGAGGCTTAGACTAACTCAATGTCCTTCCTCTAATTATTTGTTGATATATCTTTACTTTCCCATCTCTCTGCAATGTATTATCATTCAGTGGTTCTGAAATATATTGACTTTTTATATTCCCCCCACCAAAAACTATTTCATACAAACCTGAGTTGTCAGTTTGGTGTGTAATAGTGAACCACAGATTTTTGTGAAATGCATGGAGAACTCAGTAAATTGTGATAACTGTGTAGTCCAGGAAGAATTTTGGCTAAATCAATAAAGAAACCAGATGTGAAACAAACATCTTATGCCTTTTGAACCTCATCAGCTTCAAGTCTGTATATTAACTGTGGCCACTAGTGTCTGGAGAACACTTTATTTTATCTTTTTGCCCAAGTAACCTAAAATTCAGGATTTAGATACAATCACTGTTTTTACCATGAAGCTGTGGTAAAACGTGCATATTTCAATCCTTGAGGGGTGTGACATTTAAACACTGTGATGATATAATTCTTAATGTGTTCACTAGGACTCCGCACCTTGAATGCTGAATCTCCCATTTCTGGGTACCGTGTTGCTCTACAGAAAGAACAGTCTCAGAAATCTTTTTATCTTCTTTGTACTCTTCCTTGAGTAGTTTCAAGCGGTCCCCTCGCATTGCGCCAGTCATCTAGAGGTGAAGGCAGTACAGGTTTCCTCAAAACCCTCCTGATCTGCTGTTCTCGCTGTCAGTGTTAGTATCAGAATGCTGGGCGAGTTTCTTCCGTGTGGGATAGCGCGGGGCTTGGCTGACAGTTGCTGGCCGCCTATTTTCGTAAGGCTCCTGAGCTATATAGAATGACTTTTACATTTTTAAATAGTTGAAAAATTCAGTAATATTTGATAACATGGAAATTATATGAAATTCACAAAGTCCATAAAGTGTTTTGTTTTGTTCTGTTTTGTTTTAACCCAGAGCCACCCATTCATTTACCTTTTGTCTGTGCTTTCATTTTACAATAGCGGACTTGCATAGTGGCAACAGAGACCAGCAAGACCGAAAATATTTGCTATCTCCCCCTTTACAGAAAAATGTGCTGACTTCCAATATAGTGCATGACACGGTGGAAAGAAAAGAATAAACCTAAAACTGTGAAGAGTGCTTCCACAAAAACAAAGGCGGTGTCCAGACTAGTCACTGGTGGGGGTGGAGAGCCACGGGAACTGTGCTGGCGACCCTAAGAAATGGTTGTATGGCTCCAGATGTCGAATTGAGTATGGGTCTTTTTCCTGTTTTTGCCTCTGGTTCTGGAATTTAGCAATAACTTTTCTGTAAAAGGGCTCCCAGAGTTTGTAGGTTTGCAATGTGTCTGAATCCCTTTCTCTTTTGAGTCATTTGTCTTCCCATCTATTTAAAATACACATTCAGGCCAGATATGAAGTCGTATTTTACTTACTGCAGAGTACTGTATTGCCTGGAATGTTAAGTGTGTGAACAGTGAACATTTGTGTATTTGATGGAAGAGTATTTTCAAAGCAGTTCAGCAGAGTCATTTCTAAATTACCAGGATCATGCTTGCTGTCAATTATATATGTTGGCCTGTTTTTTATAAATGAAACTTTCTCTCTTTTTCTCTTTTGAAACTTCTGACATAGTAATAATTTGATTCTTCTTATTTTTTAAAGATTTTATTTGAGAGCGAGATAGAGCACAAGTGAGGGGCAGAGGGAGAGGGAGAAGCAGACCCTGCACTGAGCAGGGAGCCCAGTGTGGGGCTTGATCCCAGGACCCTGATACCATGACCTGAGCTGAAGGCAGATGCTTAACCGACTGAGCCACCCAGGCGCCCCTGATTCTTTTAATATCTATGATTTTTTTTCTCAAAAGTCATCAGGAATCTTTTAAAACTTGATAGAGATGTTAGTCTAATGATTTTGTGGAGTAAAATAAAAGGCATTAGTCTGTGATGAATAGGTTTATGATTTAATCCCTCTAAGCATCTCTAAGCGTCTTTCACATTTTTGTGAACAAAAAGAATTTTGATCTGAACGAGGATGCTGTTAGGTAGATTGTTACTTATGTGAACAACTACGTTCACAGTTATACCTAAAGATATATCCTTTAACATTTTTATTAGTGGGGGTTACAAAAGTATAAAGTGCATGAAAAATATATTTGTGGTTAACAGCCGCTAGGAAGGAAGAATTAGTACTCAAAATTACATCAATAGTCTAGAATGCTGGGTCCAAACCTAGAATAATGAGAAAGTCTTCAGAACCTTTATGGCGATAAGGAATGATTGAAAATTGGAAAAAGAAGGGGCGCGTGAGGGCTCAGGTTGTGATCCCAGGGTCCTGGGATGGAGCTCTCTGCTCAGCGGGGGGCCAGCTTCTTCAGCTCCCTCTGCTTCTGCCCCACCCCACTTGTACTCTTTCTCCATCTCTCTCAAATAAATAAAATCTTAAAAAAAAAAAATGGGAAAAGGGAGTGGCAGTTAACAGATCCCAGCTTCCATCAATACCCAATAGATTTGCATTTGGAAGAGAACGATCTTGCTGTACCGCTCAGCAAAAAGCCCAGACTCAACAGCCCTTCACTTTAGGCTTGTGATGAAAATCTTCTTAAAATAATATGCATCCAAGAGTGGAAGAAACAACCTCACAGTTTGAAAGAAGACATTGATACTGGCAGTAGGTTAAAAAAAAGAAAAAAACAAACAAACCCAGAAACAAAAACTGATTCCTAAGCTGCCTTCTAACTTAAAGATTGGGTATTTTGGGTGATGACTATCACAAATTAATGATTTGTTTGATAACTTTTTATTTAGCACTTATTTTGTGACAAATCCCATGTTGAGCAATTGCTATGTATTATATGGTTGAATTCTTACACGACCCTGTCAAGTGGATTCTGGTGTGTCCTCTTTTACAGATAAGGAAGATGAGATTTAAAAAGGTTTAATGAATTGCCCAAGTGGGCTGCAGAGCTGTTTCTGGGATTCAAACCCACATCTAATTCCAGAACTCATAGCCTTAATTTGCTTAGTTTGTTACACTCACTCCCCTGTGACTTCCTTATTAGTTTAATAACAAATCATAGTGTAGTGTATCAGAATGATGCTTGTTGTATCTCTCTTTATAGGAAAACAAGACAGTTCCAGCTGATGCTGTAGTTGAAATATATAAATGAGATCCCTAACTTTTGTAGTTTTGAAAGGCAATATAGTATTAGTCAATTCAGTTCTTTTAGGAATTCTGATAACCAGTTTCTCTTAACAAGCCTAATACCTTTTTTCAAGATTCAAATCATTCTTATGTATAAATGTAAAAAAATAAATTGTATAACTGCAAAAAATATTGACTTTAATATACGGTTATTCTCTATTCAGAAGTAATTTTGCAGGTTTACCAGTTACATTTTATTTGATTAGAGCTGTACCTATTGAATTCCTAAGTGGTAGTCCTGCATTTGTGATTGAATATGGTCTGAATTTGATTATCCACTGATGAATATTTGGAAATTTTATGAAAGTTTACCATCTCTAGAAAGTTGTCAAGTTTAACAGGGAATGTTTTTGTTCAATTCTAGGGGGAAATTTGCAGTGGTGAGGAAATGCATAAAGAAAGATTCTGGAAAAGAATTTGCAGCAAAGTTCATGAGAAAAAGAAGAAAAGGTCAAGATTGTCGGATGGAAATAATTCATGAGATTGCTGTTCTTGAACTCGCACAGGACAATCCTTGGGTCATTAATTTACATGAAGTCTATGAAACACCATCAGAAATGATCTTAGTTCTCGAATAGTAAGTATTGTTTTCCTTAGAGTTTGTTAGATAGTCCATACTTCATAGGATGCTAGTCACCTGTGATATGTGTTGTAGCCTAGCTCTGGAAATCTGAAGATTTTCCAGAATTTTTTCATGTGTTTCTCTTGTTAATTTGGAAAATACCAAATTAAGAAGAATGCATGTATATTAGATTTTTTATTTTCATTCTTTAATGAAATTCTTCTGATAGTAAAGTTCTCTTGTGTTCTTATTAGAGGCATTCTTCAGAAACTAAGTGATACCAAGGTAATATTAAAATAAGAGACATTTCACAGTCTCTTACATGTTCATATAGTCTGAGTTAATATTCTCCTTTCTTTCAGACACAATTGTTTGATTCATACCATGTTTTCATTTGAGTAAGTAGGGACTGTATAGGAAACAGCTTTGGAAAATGGACAGTTTTTTCTTCTTAAGAAATCCATTTTCCCTCTCTACTTCTCCTACTAAAGGAAATGATTGATAGATTTGAGTAATATAAAAGTCTTAACTACATCAACAAATACAAAATGAAAAGACAAGCTCAGGGAGAATAGTTTTATCTGTTCATCCAAAATGCTTAAAATTTATTTACTCTGTAACTAGATATTACAAATTACCCAAAAACGTGAACCTCCCAGTTTAAAAACAATGGCCAAAGGATATGTTAAACAAAATTTCAACCAAGTAAAATTGAAAATCTGATCAGCTTTATTAAGCGATTCTAGCAAGTGGAGGGCAGCTCCAAGGAGTTGTACAAAGTGGACAGCTTTTCTAGGAAGGAGGGTGTGGCAAGAAGTTATTAGCAAAAGAGGAAAAAAAAGGATTGTTTCAGGCAACATCACCTTCCCTTATGGGGAGGGCAGGGGTTCTTATTAGGTGCATTACCTCATCTTCTTTTGGGGGTATGGATAGGCCCATGTGAGATTCCTTGCTGATGCTGGTCAGAAATTTTCTGACTGACTGGTTAAGACTTATACTTCTAGGGGCGCCTGGGTGGCTCCGTGGGTTAAGCCTCTGCCTTCAGGTCAGGTCATGATCTCAGGGTCCTGGGATCAGGCCTTGCATCGGGCTCTCTGCTCAGCGGGGAGCCTGCTTTCCCCTCCCTCTCTCTCTCTGCCTTACTCTCTGCCTACTTGTGATCTCTGTCAAATAAATAAATTAAAAATCTTGGGGAAAAAAAAAAAGACTTATACTTCTGGGGGAGGTTAAAACTGCAATTAGGTTAGATATGAAGCCCCAGTTTGGTGATTTGTTGATCTTGTGACACCAGGTTGGGCCTATGCTTTTCTTTTTAACAGATATGAAGGGAAATTCCACATAGATGTACATATATATAAATGGCCTATATGTATATGAAAAATATTGATTCTTAGGATTTTTATAATGTAAATTTAAAAATATTTCCCCTTATAAGAGTGGCAGAGATCATAAAGAAAAAGTGATGTTCGTGGGTTGAACCTTCTGATTTATGCTACAGGTGGGAATATTAATTGGTGCAACTTTTCTGGAGGACAGATTGGAGTTGTGTATCAAAAACTGAAAACAACGACGACAACGAACACTCTTTAATCCAGCAATTTCACTTACATATTTTTCCACAATGAAATAATGGGGCAGTTGAGCAAAGATGTGTTAGAAAATATTCAGTGAAGGTTTTTTTTTTAATGTAACAAAAAAGAAATAACCTAATTGTTTAATAGAAAGGGCTCAGTTGGTTAAATAAGTGATAATGTCACAAAGTGAATTGCTGTGCAATCATTTAAAAAGCTAAGGTGGATATAAATGTTTCAACAGATTTTTAAAAAATATTGTTAAAAAGGAAAAAGTTACAAATGTGTAGTATTGTTCTTAAAAAATTTGAAAGTTTGTAGAAAGCAAATTCTAGATGGCTAAAATAGTGGCTTCCTCTTGATAATGTAATTCAAGAGCATTGTGTTCACAAATTTTAATTCAGTAATTTCACTTATAGGAATCCCTTCTAGAGAAATTATAAAATGTGTTTCACATAGGGTATTTTTAATTATAATAATAAAAATATTAAAAATGACGGGATGGTTAACAAATGTATATGTGGATCATATCTGAATAAAGTTTTCTAACTTAAAAAAAAGTTGGTCTAGGAATCTCATATATAAATCCCCTGCCTACCTAGATTTTGGTTTCCAGTTTGTTTTGGAGAGGATCAAGGCATGACTGGAATTTGATCTAGAAAAGACTGTGTGAAATGCTACTCTCTGACCAGATCTCATTCCTCTCCTGTTCCCGCCAAACCTGCTCTTCCGCCTTTAATCCTGGGCTCTTCCCAGGTCTCCCAGTCTTTCTGCGGGCTCCCGACTCGCTTCCTTCCTGCGATTTTCTTCGGTGGCTAGTTCAGCTAGTCTCTCGCCAGCACCTCACGTTATTTCCTTCTTCCTCCCAGTCTCAGATGAGCTTTCGCTGTCCTTGGGTAGTTCTTTACCTAATCTCTCATTCTTTCAAGGTGCTCCCCCCGATCGCCCCTGCCAGGATCTACTCAAAACCTTTAACACACTCACTACATCACCTGCTTCCCATCTTTTTTGAGACACCTGGCCCTTTGTCCCCTTCCTGGAGAGAGTAAAGGCTGGCAGGCACTCTCCCACAGCATCCCTCACCCCTTCGTTTCTATCAGAAGTTTCCACTGCTTACCTCTGAGGCTAAGACCTTAACTTGTGCCCTTTAACTCTCTTCTTTTCTAGGGCCGTAGTTTTGTTTTAAGGTGAGTTCACTGACCTCTCTCAGCTTTTCAGCCCCTCTTCCAAGGGGGTGCTCTGCCCTTGTCTTCCAGTGTGGCTGTCTCTCTTATCCTAAAATTCCTTTTCCTCAGCTTTGACTGTCTTTAAACCATGGTCCTGGCTTGCTTTGTCTTTCCCTGCCGTACTCTCCAAAGGAGCAGCTGCGTTCACAGCTTTCCTCACCTCGCCCGTGTAGTTCTCGGCCGATCCTCGCCACGTGCCACGGGCCGGTGCGCCGTGACTCTCCGTGACTCTCCGCTGCTGCACCTGCTCTTCCCAAACCCTGTTTGCCAAAATCCGTCTCTTCTTTTCAGCGCTCACTCCACTTCTTACTCTCTGTAAACCCTTTGTTGTATTATACCTTCTTTCTTGAAATGATCTTCTTTCTTGGCTTTCAGGGTCTTTTTTTTTTTTTTTTTTTCCTTTTAAATGTGTCACAGCCTTTCACCCTGCGTCTGCCGTGTGAATACAGGTGCTCCCCAGAGTTCGTTAGTGGCGTTCTTGTCATGCATTTATATCTGTGCATTTACTCTGAGTGATAACAACCTGTGTTTGTGGCTTTGGCTATTATTTATAGTGATTATTTCCAAATCTTTGTCTCCAGCCCTGGACCTTCTAAGTTCCAACTGCATCTCTCTGTATCCAGCCACACATCATTATCAATTCAGGATATGAATATGTGGGCTCCCCTGCATTGCCCTGATAATGCCTGTTTTTCTTCTGTTCCCCATTTCCATTGTTATTCCCCATTTATTTCATAGCTCAAGCCTGAAACCTCGACTCTCTTCCTTTCCCTTATCTCCTTTAAAAGCTTGTAAGTAATAAATTACCAAGTTTTCTACTTAAACCTCATCCCTGTGTTCCTTTTTCTTGGTACCTGCTGTTTCTCTCTGTTGGGTCTCTGATGGACTCTCAGTAGCTTCTTGACTGATCACTCTGGCTTCAATTCTAGGATGTTCCACAGGCTTCTGGTAGGTTACTAAGACATAGATGTGGTAATATCATTCCCTTGCTTAGAAATCTTCGGTGGCTTCTATTGATTTAGTGATCATGGTTTCAGGACCACACATCAATATGATTTGTCTAAAAATATTTGTATTCTACTTTTTGTGTGAAGGGAAAGTCTTAGAAATATGCTTTTGGATATTGAGGTATCAGAATTCTCAGCCACATCAGTAGATTGTTGTGAGGGAAACAGGCAGGTTTATGATCCCCGCGTCACTAATGCATTTCACATACACTTAAGTACCTGCCATATGCACTAGGTGCTAATAGTATAAAAGTGGTATGAAAGTAAAAAAGTATGAAAGTAAGAACAGCATAGCCTCTGCCCTCCCCATGCTACAGGCTTAGTGAAGGAAATATAAATGATTACAGCGATGTTTGTGTTTTACCAGAAATGCTTGCTAGTTGCTGTGGAAACAAAGTGTCATGGTCGTGTAAGAAGTGACTGTGTGTGCCAGGCACTATGCTAAGTCAAATCAGCCAGCTTTATAGAAAGTATTCACGTGCTGTATATACATTGTTTTATTTTTAAAAAAATTTTTTCAGGTTTATTGAGATATAATTACATAAAACATTTTGTAAGTCTATGGTGTAGAATGTGTTGATTCAATACCCTTATGTATTGTGTGATGATTACCGCCATAGCATTGGTTAACACCTGCATCAAGGTATATAATTACCTTTTGTGTGTGGGGGGGAGGGAGGATGGGTAAGAACATTTAAGATTTACTCTCTCAGCAACTTTCGAGTATACAATATTAGTAACTGTCACCACTGTGCTATACATTAAATTTCCAGAACTTACTTGTCTTGTGACTGGAAGTTTGTACCCTTTGACCAATATCTCTCCTTTTCCTCCACCTCCCCACCCACTGGTAACTGCCAGTCTAGTCTCTGTTTCTAGGAGCTTTGCTTTTTTAGATTCCACATATATGTGGAATCTATTAAAATGGCTGAATAATATTCCATTTTATGTATATAACACATCTTCTTTGTCCATTCTTCCATTCATCGATACTTCAGTGAACAGGGGAGTGTTAATCTTTTTGAGATTCTGTTTTCATGTACTTTGTATATATACCCAGAAGTGGGATTGCTAGGTCATATGGAAGTTCTGTTGATGAACTCCATACTGTCTTTTCTTTCCTTTCCTTTTCTTTTTTCTTTTTTAAAGATTTTATTTATTTGATAGAGCGAGAAAGCACAAGCAGGGGGAGCAATAGCAGGAGAGGGAGA